CGTAAGTACGTTTTCATTTAAAGAATTTGCCACTGATGATTCAAACGTGAGTTTTGGGCAGTGTGGAGTAGCACTTTTGTTTGTCATTTCTCTGATCACAAATGCAGACAGGGTTCTATGTTTACGCGGCACGATGCCATGCAACGCAACGTGTAAAAAGACAGTATAAGTCATTAAAATCAGTAATTATGTTCCCACTGGATGCAACAAATGCCTCGTTTGTAATGGGTTTTAATGTTTTTGAATCATCGCTCCGGCCGGACAGGGCATCACAATATGGTGAGGGGTGTAACATTTCCGTCACACGCTTGAGGTATTCGGCCAATCACAACGCACTGGATAGCTGGCCAATCACAGCACACCTCGCTTTTTCAGACCGATGAGCTTTGTAAAAATCGACGCGTTTCAAAAAGGCGGGGCATAGAGGAGAAACAATAATGTACAGTATGTGGAAAATAATGTGTTTTTTTAACTTTAAACCGCATAAACACATTTCATTACACCAAATACACAAAATAATGTTCTTTTTAGCAGCATCATATGACCCCTTTAAAACATAGCAAGCCACAGAAAAAGTGATCAAGCGCATCCACTATAAACAGGCTATGTCTAAATTCATATAATTTTGGTTTAACTTTTGTGTAATGACTTTATCTAATTTCAGTTATGTAATTTCTCCATTAATGAGAGTGGAATATTTAATGTAAATGTGTATATCGACATGAAAACAGAGCTTAAAATCATTGTTTACTTCATTACTTTTCTCTCTCCAGGAAAAAAAAAGTCCGTACACGTAGGTCAGAGTTTGCATGCAGGTGCGCAAATTTTCCCGTCAAGTTTGTTTTTATAAATCCCACCTTTTGCATAGGAAGTGGCATACGCCTCTTTCAGGGCAGGATTTGTGCATACGCAACGGTTATAAATTAGGCCCCTGGTATGGCGTGACTCCTAGTTGAGGGTTCCAAGACGTCTTTTATTTCCTGAATCAAATTAAAAATAACATGGCTTGGCAAACGATATGTTCAGATAATGTGTTCTTTGGGCATTCTAAATAAATTAAAAAGTGTGGAAAACAATCCTCTCCCTTCTACCATGCGCACTTTGTTCTCTGCGGTGCCTCTTCCTAGCAACAACAATTGCAGGCATTTCAAGCACAAAACAGTTTAAGACATGCTTTTTTTGGGCATTAAATAATGGCGCAAATACTAGTAATTTGATGAGCGCAAACATTAGTAAAAATCTCATTGAATCAGAATCAGAATCAGAATCAGAATGAGCTTTATTGCCAGGTATGTTTACACATACGAGGAATTTGTTTTCGTGACAGAAGCTTCCACAGTGTAACAGAATGACAGTGACAGAACAAAAAACAAAGATAATAAAAAATAAAAAATAGCACAAGTAAATAAGGAATAAAAATATATAAATCGACAATTGTATGTGCAGGTAGTTTATTTTTTATAAATCCCGATATGTGCATGGAAAATTGCGAAGTTTATACATCAGGCCCCAGATCTTCCTAATGTTGTATAAAGCATATCTGCAGGACGGGGCAGTTTTAGTAATGTGGTCTGAGAAATTCAGCGTATCATCAATTACAACTCCAAGGTTTCTAGCTGTTTTTGAAGGAGTATTAGTTCACTTTCAAATTAAAGTTTTCCTGATCATTTACTCACCCCCATGTCATCTTTCTGTCTTCAGTCGAAAAGAAATGATCTCCTTATAGTGGACTTCAACGGCTACCAAACGGTTGAAGGTCAAAATTAGTTTCAGTGCAGCTTCAAAGGGCTATACACGATACCAGACGAGGAATAATGGTCTTTTTTAGCGAAACAATCGGTCATCTTCTAAAATTTGTTTACATTTATATACTTTTTGGCTTCAAACGCTCATCTTGTGTAGCTCTGCGTGAACTCTGTGCATTCCGGTTCATGACAGTTAGGGTATGTCGAAAAACTCCTATCTCATTTCCTCCTCCAACTTCAACATTGTCCTAAATCGTCCTACATCGCTGTTTTACACCTTAGAAGGCGTTTGACCTTCTTTGCATGTTCACTTTGTAAACACTGCGTCGGTACTTCTGCAGCGATGTAGGATGATTTTGAAGTTGGAGGAGAAAATGA